CCCCCCCTTCTCCCCCTTCCCTCTTTGCTTTCTGGGGTTTTCCTGAATGCAATACTCAGGATCACCCCTCTCTTTCTTGGGTGTGTCCCTGGACGATTGTTCGTAGCTGGGAACACCTTCCTTTCCTCTCCCTTTCTCTCCCTCTCTCTTTCTTTCCTTCTCTCTTTCCTCTCTTTCCTCTCTTCACCCTCTTCCCTGGGTGTCCCTGGATGCTTCGTCATAGCTGGGAGCCCTTCTTTTTGGTGTGTCCCTGGACGCATGTGTCGTCGCTGGGAGCACCTTTGTCTCCTTCTTTCTTTCCCTCTCTTTTCTTCCTCCCCCTGCCCCCTCTTTCCTCGCGCGCGGCGTGTTTACAAGCAAACTAGGCTTCTGCAACAGGTTTTTCTAATGAGGTTTGGTTTGTCATCGGTTTGTCCCCGTTCATTTGGTTCCCCTTTCATCGGCCCCCACAGACGGTTTTTTCCTCTTTTCTTTCATGTCTTTCTGTCTTCATGTCTTTTCATCCTCATCCTTTCTTTCTCTTGCGCGCACTTTCGTCCGGACCTTAGTTTGTACACATACACGCACGCGTACTATACTTACAGCGAGGTTCAGGTGGCCCAGGTTCGTTACAATGAGGTTTGGCTCATCGGTTGTCCCTCTTCACTTGGTTCCTTTTCATCGGCAACCACACACACCTTTGTCTGTCCTGTCCTTCTCATTTTCATCTGTCCCTTTTGCGTGCACATGAGCCTACCTCCTTTCCGGGCAGGATGGAGGTCACACATGCCTCCCTTCGGGGAGGCGTGTGTGTGTAACCCTTGGAATCATAGGGATCCTTTTGGATTTGCTCAGCTTGCTTTCTCACTTTCCAGTTTTACCACAGCAGGGGGCATGGCAGCTGTTTCCCAGGCCATGCCAACGAAGCTACGGGATTCAGCCGGAAGGGAATGTGGACGCACATTCCTGTACCTGCAGCGTGAACTATTTTCAAGCTGTTCCACTTCTGTGTTTTGCAGTAACCGTCTAATGCAGCGGTGATTCATGTCAGATTGTGAGCTTGACTTTTCTGCACGAACGTCGTCACCTTGTCGTCCGCTCGATCGATGTCTTCGTTTGGAGCTGCTGACCACCTGCAACCTTTGAGACCTCCACTAGATGGACCTCCACTTCCTTTTCGATTTCCTGACCTCCACTTCCTTTTCGATTTCCTTACCTGTACCCTTAGGAAATGGAACCCTAGGCCGGCGTGTGGCACCGCTATCAGGTCAGTACGCATATCCATGAGTGTGTGTGCGTGCTTATGTTTCTGAACACGGCACCCTCAGCATGTGCATTTTGAGCAAATTCTACTTATTTATATATACTGTACTAGTATCTCCTTATTGTTTTCATGTTAGGTTTGGTTGTTACTTGCTTGTGCAAAGAAGGCTTCATCATGCCTATTCTCTTTGCATTTGCTGTCCGTGTGACATAGTCACCAACTCCCCCCAACAAAACCAGACAGGTCCATGTCTCAGGATTTGCCCCTCAGACATTGACATGGTTTATTTTTCTTTGTTTGTTTTGCTAGCTCTGAGTTCTTGTTTGTAAGTTCCTCAATACCCATTCATGCAATTGATAGTGGAGTATTTGGCTCTGAGTGAGAAATATAGTTACTATCATTGCTTAAAACAATATGAACAGTAAACATGCTTTAACAAACATCGAGAGGAATTTTTTGATGTTCAACAATTTGTCAACAATAATCTCGGAATATCACCTACCCTGCAATAGGTTTGCCCAAGATGAAGTGGAACCCCTTAAACTCCCTAGCTATGTTCACTCTTTATATAAATAGTGTGTGAAGTTATCCCTTTCTTCTGTCATTGTGTTTGTTTTCTTCATTTTTACCCTATCTCCCACTCGCGTATATGTGCGGATGTTCGTTTGAACGTTTTTGCGCGTCTACTTTTCAAACACATCCCATACACCAATTAAGCTTCTTGTTGACACATATGTTTCCCCATATGCTTCAGCAACGCAACGTGTGTAACCATTCATTTGGTGACATCCACACATCAAACTCGGGAAACATGGTATGCGTTAGATTTGTGAAAAGGCATCAGTTAATATTTGCTTCCATCAAGTCTTTTTGTTTCGTATCCTAGAAGGGGCGCTACTAGTATTTAGGCATTTAGTTCTGAATATTTGGACTTATGAGTTTCCTTGAGTGCCTCATCGTTGACATTACGCATTTCTTCAGTCACCTGTTGAATTCATGTGATGCATTCACAAGTGTTTTGCAGTGAAGGGTTTGCCTTGAACAGTCTTGCCTTACAATGTTGTAGGTAATTGATGTGATGTGTTTAGTTTTTTTGTTTTTGGATCTCACTTTGATTTGTTTAATACATTGTGGCCATATTGTGCTGATGTAAGTTGATACAAAACCCATGGTAAGCCACTTGCATCAGGTTATACGTTTTTGTAATTTGTAGTAGCTTATCTATATGATATGTTCAAAGGATTGGTATTTAACCGATTCTTCCCTGTCAGCAATGTAGTTCTGACTGGCCGTTTAAGCCCACAGTTTCAGGAGAGGCAATGTGACTCAGATTGTTGGCCTGGTCATAGTTCATCATGTAGATGTGATTGTCCTTCACCAAGGCGACCAAAGTGTTTACCCTACGTTTGCTTCTCTCTCGCTCATATGTTATTTGAAAGTGTGTAACTTGACTGGGGTGTAAAAACAATGACAACTTGACAACTTTCATGTGATTTATGGATGCCCCGCTGTTGCTACAAACACTTCATCACTCACATTCAGTAGCTCCAGCACTTTCTCTCTTGTCAAATTAGCATTCGTTCTCCCTCATCAGTTCTGTGTCATCATATGTATCAACAAGTGATTTTATCCAGCTTTCATTTTTTGTATTTAATTTGATGCTCTTTGTGGCATCCTTCACTGTGATATTATCAATCTATGACTGTTTCAATGTATTTGTGAACGGTTGCTTGATTCCGGTGTCCCTCTCTTAGTATAATTTGATATTCTGAACCCTTGCGTGACTATAAATTGCATACATCATACATTGATACATCTCTATTTGTCAATCCCGATTGGACCAGTACAATCAGCAATGTCACGTTCCATCACTATTGTCCTAAACAAATGCTTGTCAAATACATTTCTTTCCTTTCTTTTAGTCCTTCTAAAATATTGTTGCCTCTAACATTTCCTGGAACACTCATGGATTTTGATCACATCACATGACACATGAGGTAGAAGCATATGAGAAACAAGAAACATGCACGATCACAGCCTCCCGCTCTCTCCTCTTCTTTTTTTTTGGGGGGGGGCGGGGTTTGAGGCAAACATGGGCCCATAGTCTCTCAATGTCTCACAGCAAACTACTTGTTCAGGTTCGCCACATAGCTTGGTTATGTTCGTGCGACTTGCCCGAACGTGAACCACTTGTTACCAAGCTCTGAATGTGAACAAGAACGTTTGATTTTTTTACACAAGCATAAGTCAATAGTTTCGATACCTTTGCGGTAATACTCTTACCGTTACCAATGTTTCCAAAGTGAGGGGATCCTGCCAAATGGTCTTGTCTTCCAGGCCCAGCTCCTTGCCGGCCCCGAGAAGGCGTGGCGTGGCCATCGTCGAGACAGTGCGGCATGGCAGTGTCTTACAATGATCAGGAAGGCCATGATTGTCCTTTTGCTTGAGGTGGTGAATAATGCGGTGTGGATGGCATGGCTCATGATATCTCATGACAGATGAATCGTGTTGGCTCATGTTGGCTCCGGCGAGATCTTCGCCATAACTTTGCAGAGTCTGCTGCCAGGCTTCTGTGCTGCCAGCAGATGACATCGCTCAGCTGGCGATGTTGCTCTCGATGGTTCGGGAGCCAGGGTCCAGTTCTCGATGAAATCCTCCCAATGGGCTGCTAATCCTGGTGGTTGTTGGGGGGTCATCAGTGTCAGGCATGATTACATAATATTACATATTGTATTTGATTGATGGATTGAAGAGTATTGGGTCGAAAGACATCCTTGCTCGGAGTGTTTTTTTCAAAAAGAATTTGTGGCATGTTGACTTGCTTCGAATCCTTTGCGCTTAGCATGCTTTCCACAGAGACCAGACCGAAGCTCCAGTGAAAAAGGTGTTGTCGCGTAGGCGCCGATGGATATGGTCAAACCGAAACACTACAGACTCAGACTCGCCCGGCACAAACAGGGGAGCCGATGCCCTATGCTGGCTTGACACAAATAGCCCAAAACAACGCTTCCTGTGTCGTGGACATGAGCGATAGCTCCCGGTCAAAGCCTTGGAAATGATCATAGTGTACCATAATAGACAGGGTAAGAACTGCTGACCATGCATATGTACAAGAGATGCGGACACTTTATGCACACACACATCTATTGGGTTTGTCCTATTACCTGTAACAGTCAGTAAGCAATTATCACTATTCTTGAACAAGGATGAACAAGGCCTTTACCAATCATCATCATCATCATAATAATCATCATCATCATCATCATCATCATCATCATCATCATCATCATCCAGTGTTACAGGTATTAGGATAGACCCAACACATTCATATTATATACTGTAATATACTGTATATATATATAGAGACACGTTTGTGAATTGTGAGGTTCTTATATATAAATCTTTGTGTGTGCCTGCCTGTGTGTGTGTGCTCTCGTATTTGTGCTACTGTTGCCAAGTACATTCAACGATCGTAGAATACATGTCCAGAGTCCAGACTATGCATATATATATATATGTCTACACCCAAAGGTGTGTAGATCACGTTTTGCGCTCACCGTTTCATTTGGGCTGAGGTGGCGCCGGACCAGGGGCTGATCTTTCATGTCATTGGCCTCAGGCTGCAGGAGGTGGAGCCCAGAAAGCGGAACCCGCGAGCGCGATTCGAAGGTTTGCATGAAGACCCGTATACGGGTTCCTGAGATGATTATATAGAAGCTTAGTAACTATTATTGCTAATGCTTCAGTTTTGGGTTTATAGTTTAAATATTCAAGACACCCAGCTAGTTGCGCCTTATCCCGAGGGCTTGAGGAGCGAACTCTTGGCCAGGCGGGCTCCAGCTTGACAGAAGCTGGCTTCGCCTCCATCGATGCAGCTTTCCCGGATGGCGTGTGGACACCTGGCAGTCTTCTCTTTCATTGAATTCGGATTCCAACGCTGGGCAGAAGTAGTTGGCACTACACGCCACTACACGGCCGACCGGTGCAGTGAGTTGGGCTTCCAAGGCCGGACCGAACTTTCCAGGGAAGGAGCAGTTGTTGAGCTCCATGAAGGAGTGCGCAGCGGACAGGGCATCGCGGGCAGAGTATCGTGCGCATGGAACAATTTTGGCTTCTACCTTTCCGGCGTCACGTTGGCACCCACTGACCACCTTTCGATAGAGTGTTGCGTGGAAACAGGAACTGAAGGTTATTATGGCAACTGTGTTTGTTTATTCTGCTAGATGAAGAGGAGTTTTGATGCTTTTTCATGCCATGTTCACCGTTTGATGCAGCTCACGTTGCTGCAAAAGTGCTGTCCTTTTCAACCCCTCGCATGTTGAATGTGATGAATCATTGCACGCCATGGGCCCCACACACACATATATAGTATACATATAATATAACTATATATATATGAATATATATATATATGCGTCGTAAATCATGTAAAATTGATTTATACAAAGTAACAAAAATGTGATGTTAAGTTATATGTTATATGTTTTAAGCGCCGACGGTTTGGCACACCTGGCCGGGGCACTCGTTTGGACAAAGCGGACAGGATTTGAAAGCCAAGCTGGCTGAGTCCTCCAAGAGCAAAGCCAAGCTGGTGCCTGGGTGGCTTCGTGGTTTGATGTTTTGGCTCCGCATTCAATCAATCTGATGCTGGGTGACCTACCTTTCGCATTGTTTGAAGTGACAGGTTCACGACATGTTCACACTGCTCAGCTCCATGTAAGCTGTTCCAGTCCTTTCATGTTTCTATAGCACCCGACATGCACTATCTCCCACAACGCGCGGATGAGCCAGGTGCCACGGAGGGATCGTTCCCGAAGCCGATCACGGTCGTGGCAGCCCTGGGCAAATGCATCATGTGGCAATGGGCATGGGTCTGAAATCCACCATATGCTATACATATATGATGTTGGCAAGGTATGGTGAGACTTTGTGCACCCATGGCCCATGGCCATGAAATGAGTCAAGATTTGGATACGGTCCATTTAAGATGTGGTGATGCAGGCTCAGAAATATGTGCCAAGATCAAGAGCCTTATTATATATCCAGAGAAAAATTCACCAGCAAGTGTCAGTAATCTTCACTTTATTGACTTGCATGGAGTTCATGGCATTAGAGATCCTTGGAGAACTTCAGGCTCGAGCTGGTGAAAGGAGCGGCATCAAATTTAGAAACAGTTCAATGGATGAAGTCGAGGATACCTTCGATGCCTTTCTGCCGATGCACTTGCCTAGGCCCTTGGATCGAGAGGATTTCACTCTGTCCATGCCCGTCACTGCCTTGAAGACCGAGCAACTCAAAGCCTGTGACGGCAGTGACAGCGTTGTTGGGACGATGTCTTGGCCAATGGCTGGAAGATCGTCCAGGTCCAACTCCAAGGAATCGTTGCAAAAGCGCCGGGATCAGTTTAGGAGAGACTCACGGCCCTTGGTCCTTGACAACTTGGGAGACACTGGGCGAAGAAAGAAGCAGCCTATTCATGCGGATTGCCTCGGAAACAATCGGCGACCCAAGAATTGGCGACATGGTAATTAGGCATTTCAATGCGTTGATAAGAGTCATTCTTGGAGTGTAGCAGCCACAAAAGTCACAACTGCCATAGCTCCGACAAAAAGCTTGTTCGGATTCCGAGTTTATTGTTCATTATGGTTTGTACCGCTTTGCCCTCAACATTGGCGACGTCGGTCGCTTCACAAATCCCCAAAAGAACGGAGCAAGGGGCTGAGATGGGCTGAGAAGAAGATGAATCATGATGAATATATTTTTTCTATGTGTTCTTCTTTGTTTGGAAACGCACACCGGCAGAGCAGAGGCAGCCCCAGCCAGTTTGCCATAGAAACTTGCCAAAAATTGTGGCTTACGAGGAAGACCGGCGAAGCTCAAAAGAAACATCTTCGACTACCTCCAGCTGTTTCTCGCAGCTCTTTCCCAACATCCCAGACCCAGAGAGCCGACGCCATTTGAGAGGGCTGAGCCTGCATCCAGCTGCAAATTCTGATTTGGCTGAGTCATATGCTTCAGATTTGGGGTAGATTTGACCCAGACCCATGTCTCGAGTAGCAAGCTAACAATTGTGCAGTCCAGCTTGCAACAGGTGAGAATGAGCATTAGGGTCTCCTTTGAACCTGTACAGCAGGACCAAAAATGTTCAACCTCCGTATTTCATCGCCATTTTTCGTGGAAGTTTGCTCCCGGCTTTGCCGGAGGGGATGATAATGACTCGCTTTGAATGCGACTGGTGTGTTGGCTGTGTTTCAGATTGCTCAATGTTTGCACTGCGTCCCCTCCGCCCTCAGCAGATACCACTCCTTCAGTGCTATGTCAGTGTTCCCGCGCGACTCACCCAGTAGTCCGCCGGATCACGGAACATATGGCCCAATCGAGGCAGTCCGAGAGGCTCGCACTTTCGGAAAAGCGCCAGATCACCATCCCCCAGGCCCCAAGGGGAAATGACCGCAATGTAAACTTCATCTCTCAAGCAACCATCGTTGGCCGAATGAAGTTGAGTTGTCTAATGTTGGATTGGACCGTTTTACGTATTATTTTTTTGTGGAGGGGGTACTATATTCGGCATGTGCTGAATGATGCCATTGCATCACCTTGCAGTGTTTTGTTCTATTCAAGTCGCTTGCGTGGTCTACACTGCTTTGCCATGGATTTGCCCCCACATTTGCCTCCCGAGAAGGTTTGTCGAGAACACCTGGTGAGCAAGTCCATGGGTGAACTACCCAGCTTGGAGCTTGAGGCTTTGGTGGACGTCAATGAGTTCGTCACGGCGACCATCCGTGAATTGCCTTCGTTGTCTTTTGATCTTGATGATGACGATTTTGCTACCGGGACATGGTCAGTGGGCGATGTGGCTTAGTTTTCTGAATCGAATCGGTGATGTACTTTTTCAACTTTTTTTCCCACATGAACTTAGTTCGAGTGGAGTCCCTTATTGTTTTATTGGAGTCTGGAAGATCCAAACAAGGTGGCCGTGAGATCCAAGAAGGGATACAAGGGATCATTGCAGAGGCGGCGCCGCCTCTTCCGGCGCGACAGTGACCCCCTTGCACTTGAGAAACTGCAGGACAGAAGGGTCTGTCAGAGAAGATGGTGAAGGGTCGGGTTGCCAATAATCTTTTGAAGAGGAAAACATGAGGTGGTCGTTGTGTGTGGTGTTTCAGACATTAAACACGTGTTAACCATACAATTGAAAAGACCTGCTGCCTGGGCCGGGCCAACGGCTACTGCAACTTTCCTCCCATGTAGTGTTCGGTGACTTGGAAGGTGATACCAGGGTGCAGTGCTTTGGCTGCTGTTGCTGATCATGGGCACTTGGACATAGTTTAGCCAAGTTTTAAGGGATGATAGTAATGTAATGTCGACTCTTGATTAATCACCCCCCCCTCAACAATTGGAGACCCTAGAATAATATGATAGAAAACCAATCAATTGATGAATACATAATAAATAATCCTTACTCAGCTACCTCTGGAGCTACTCAAAATCATTAAACCAGAGAGTAAAAAAGCAATTTGAAACATATATCACCAAAAATGTTACTCCCCCCAAAACATACATTATTCTGGGGGCAATCTATTAATCAGAGGTCCACATTAGACTTGATTAATAAATTCACCCACTTGGATGCACTCACTTGCGGTCCAATGCACTCGCGCCCACTCCGTCCCTTGCCACGTTTTGGGGCGGGTGTGGGTGGGTCAGTGGTATATTAATCAAGAGTCAGACAGGTTGGCTGATCATTATGGGGAGCGGACAGGTTGATCACCCAGCTGACTCACCGCATCCAGGAGAGTCTGAAGGAGCCAGTCAAGGAGGGCCAGGCACCGAAGCCCGGCTCCTTTGACCTCCTCTTTTCCAACCACCCGGATCCTGAGAGTCGTCGCCATTCCATCATTCCTGACCGACCAGTTCAGAACGGTGTCCGCGGCGTCCGGTCATTTCCAGTTAACGACCGGTGGTTGGCTGGTGGCGAGGTGCATGCGACCTGAATGGAGAGAGCTGCTCTCAAGCAACAACTTGTAGCGGCCATTTGCCTTGACCCCTTTTTTTTCTGCTATGGACAGGTGCCGTGACCCTTTGGCGTCACACTAGCAGATGGAACGCCGTTGTGCAGGACAGTTTTTCCCGGCGTGTCCCACATTTCCGCAGCATGTCGGGTGCATTTGAAGCTCGACTTGCCCTCAGCCGCGATCGTAACCGCAGAAGCGATGCTCATGCTCATGTCTAAGATGTGGGCACATGAGATGTACACTTTCCTGACGGGCCTTGGGACGAGCTCATTCGGTGCTAAATTGCATGCCAAGATCTTCCCAATTGCCTACAGCTGGGTCCCAGGTGATGGTTGCCACATGTTGCCACTACTATGCAGATACTTTGTTGCTGGCAGGCGTGCCACTAAAGAACCAAAGGTTTTGCAGCGGGTTCACATATACACTTGCACTCACTCTTTTGAGACACTTTCAGAGAGACTACTCGTATCGGTCCTGGCTGTTGACCCAGCACAAAACAGTGCTGTGGTCTAGCTCAAAGACTGTGATTCCCTGCAGTAAGCAGGCAACCCTGTCTTGCACATGGCTGAGTTTTGCACGATGAGACTTGAGCCATTGGACCTTGTCCAATCTGTGCCAGAAGGAGGAAAACCAAAGCAAACACATGCACAACATTTCTGCTTTCTCCAACTCAAGCTTCTGCCGGCAAATCAGAGAAGTCATGAAACATATTGTGGGTGACCAGCATTTTTTTGATTGAAGCCGTTTGTGTGCTTTACAAGGACCTAGATGCCAGGCAGCCATGGAAATGCCACCACATTCGCTTTCCGAGGATGTCGAACAAGCAAATCGCATGAACTTGTCGATGGATGAACTGCCAAGCATTGCCGGAGAGGGCTTGATGAAATGGAACGAGTCAAATGAGTTGGTGAGTGTCGCCGTTCGTGAATTCCCTCCTTCACGTCTCGAACGGGAAGACAGTGATATTGCTACTGCGACATGGCCAGTCTGTGCCGTGACTTGGTTGCCCAATCCCAATTTGTTTGATGGTTTCTTCGTTCGGTGCAAGTGCCTTTGGCTACCGGGTAGACTGTTCAGCTGCTTGAAGTAAAAAGAAGATGCGTCTTCGGTTGTTAGTTTTGACACCGACTGTTTTTCATTTTTGTTTTGAGCATTTGTCCTTCAGGTGGAGGTGAGGCCCAAGAAGGGATTTGGATCATTGCAGAACCGCCGCGGTCGATTCCGGCACAACAGTGACCCCCTGGTGCTCGTGGCGTTGCCCAAGAATCAGGACACCTGAGTGGAACATTCCGACGGAAGGATGGAGCCTCAAACCACATGAAACCATTGGTTTGTAAAGGATTCCTGTTTGTTCAGGATCTTCATGTTCAGAGAAGGATGCTAAAGGTCCTGACGTGGTGTATGGGCTATACATATAATCTTACATAGATTCCGGCAGCCGGATTGCCAAATCAGCCATCAACACAGAACAGAAGAACCTTTAGCTGGATTTCTATAAGGACGCCAATTGATACGAACCGGCCCCAACATTGTGCAGGAGATGGCGGGTGCGGAAAGGGCAAGCCGCTTGTTTGACCTCATTTTGTCGGAGCTCCCCGATCCAGAGAGTAAGCGCCACACCTGCGTCTAACCGACATGACGAAGCTTCTTCCTGGACAGCGATGGAGACGCATCCCCAGTGGTTGAAAAACCGTTGTACAGCACATGATCACATGTTTTCCCAGTGTTCCCACCCCTTCCCAGCCATTCCCAGCATGCCGGGTGCATTTGAAGCGGTCCAAGTTCAAGGCGTCAATACTCGTCAATTGCCATGGACCATCTATTGGATTCAGGCAGGGCGTGCACTTGAGACAGGAACCTGCTCATCCCGTGCTAGAGCTAGAGTTTCCAGCTGAGCTGAGGGGTTGCTAATGTATTATTGCACTACTGCTCGGCTTTTGTTTCCAGCTGCATCCTTTGTTGGCATGATGATCGTCCAGTGGCTAATGATGTACCTGACATCATCGCTTTGCAAGTGGATTGATGGGACATCAAACAAGGAAGCGGCGACAGTTCCAGCCTGGGAAAACAGGCGGCATGTACTGCAAAGACTGCGGAACGGTTTGGCATGTTCTTGAGACAGCTGTCAGAACCCCGCAGGAACCGTCAAAACAGATGGGACTTTGAAGCGTTCTCCGCTGCATCCAGAGGTTGGTTCTGACGCGATTTCTTCCGTTTAAGCTTGGGTGCATCACTCTCGGCCGTGCCGTTGGGACAGAACAATTCCTAGACGGATGGGCCCTTTAGAACCTCCCACGTCGTTCATCTTCTTTTGTCGACCGATCCCAAACACAGTGAGCACTGGCGGTTTCTCTCGAAGAGCCCTAAGAAGACCCGCACAGGGCTCAGGTCCAGGTCCAAAGAAGCAAACTTTCTTCACTTGCACTTGTGTTGGTCTTTAGGCAGCAGCACTATCAGCACGAGTAAGGGCTGCTTCCACTACTCTTCCACACTTCACCAGCACGAAGGACATCAACATTCGGTGTTGCAAGATGTTGCAAAAAACCAAGCAGTGTGCACAGGTTTCAGGTGGTACTTCTTGAAACACCTTGTCATCCACCTCTTGTTGCCAGTCCGATTGGGACATCAGCTGAGGCGACGGAAAAAGACGTGAGCCACACACCGCCCGTGAGTCAGCAGACGACACTCATCAGACAGCAGACCTGTGGGTTTACAATGGTTTACATGCATACCAATATGTGAGACACTTGCACAGATGAAGTTGACAGTCGAAACCAATATGATTTGAAGGTTTCGCCGTTTGGAGTCTCACTGGAACAGCATGTGCCTGCGGTCTCCCAAATTGGAACAGTGTTTCGCACAGATTTCAGCACAGGGACATGTTGGGTGGAAGCTTTTGTGCCATCGGTGCATTGATTGCGGATTTCGGGGCCCAGCGCTTGAAAAAATGTTGGGCTGGGTGAGTGATCGAGCTGCGGTTCCAGGCATGAAGATGTCAAAGTCCTTTGCACACCTGACCTAATCCTCAAGATTCTTTCAGCGCTTAAGTTTGGTAATTATTCTCTCAGCACATCTCAGCATCCTTTGTTGTTGTCAAGGCTTGTCCGTCAAATATATAAGAGCCTCAACACCTGGGACTTTTACATTCTATTTTTTCCTTTCTGACATGCAGTGCAGCATGGCCCTCCCTGTTTTCAGGACATGTCCCAAGCTGGCTCTAACTTCACCACTGCCTCCCCTGCTGAGATTTGCTGATACAGAATCTTAAATGCATGCATACAGCCAGAGTTTCAGAAACAAGCCATTTGCTTACAAGATGCTGAGCTGGTTCGGCTCTTGTGGAAATCACTTGTTTGGGATCCTGTCGGAGCTAAAGGGTCGTGAAAAGTCGTGAAAGCCTTTTTCAATGCTCTCAAATGAAGGCCGGCAATGCATACTGTAGCGCTCTAGATGGCTTGACTCTTGTGACTAGCTGATATTGAGCCTTGCCGCTGTAGCTTTTTCAGCACCAGCTTTTGCAAAGGCAAAGCTTTTCCTGCAACTCTTGAGAGATAGTTGCCATGGCCCGCTCTATGAGCTTTCTCCCTGTGGTGCTGCTGGCGCTGGGCGCCTGGATGTTGAGCTCCTTGATGCCGAGCCAAAGCGGCTTTGTGAACTCGGCCACCCCCAGGGCTGGCAGCAAGATGGCCATGCGGGGCTTCAAGGACGACTTCTATGCCTGGAAGGACACCTTGAGCAAGGATGATCAGGCGCTTTTGCTCAAACAGGCGCAGAATGAGTCTTGGCACACAAAAACACAGCAAAGAACTCATAAACATCTATGCTGACGCATGAGTCAGTGAGTTGTTTTATTTTTTAAGTCCTAGAGTCTTCAACCATCATTCCAGCCTTCGCATGCCGGCTGGAGCTCATTGACTTGTCATACGGTTTTACCAAGGAGTTCAACAAGAAGTTCCGTGCCACCGACGACTTCAAGACAAGCAT